TGTTTTGGGTGATGTGGCCAACAGATTGGCGCGTTTATTTCAACATTCAAAGTGTAGCATTCGTCTCTACATATTTATTTTTACACTGTCTGATCGCCCGTTTCATTCCATTTGGTCATCTTGCAAACACAAGCTCTCGAAATAACGATTGTCGTTGTAATGGTAAGTGAAACTAATTTCAGTACAGCAACGTAGTTTTTGCAGAATTTAAATATCCATGATGATAGGCATTTTTTTTCCTGGGAATTTCCCATCTATGTTTAGTTGCTAAGTGAAACAACACAGACAGTGGCAAGTGCACCACACAAATTAGTATAATAGAGTGATATGTGTATAAGATTAAGAGGAAAATGTTGCACGGTTAGTTTCCTTTGATTTCGATTATCAGGGATGAGACGAGTCTCAAGCCACTTCGTTGCATAACCCATGCTGCTGCTAAGCTTCATCGTACAACTCTGCACAGAAGTGCACCAGTTCTAGTTGCCACACTCCAGGTAGTACAAAAAGGTAGGCAAAAGCGAAGGAGAGGAAATTCAAGCGAACTATGATGAGTTGTGTGGGGCAAAGAATAACAACAGGGAGAAACATGAGGATTTAGAAGAACACAAGGTGAATACATTTACTCCATTGAAAGTAATTTTTAGTCATATCACCAATAATCTCCATCATTTGGTTTTTAGAATCCCAAAGACCCCAGCCAGATAGCTTCCGACCCCCTATGTCGCTCAAAGACTTCACGGACTAACTCCAGGATGTGGTTTGACCAATTCTTCCAACCTAATCTCATGTCGGTTAGCATTGCCTGTCGAGGAAGGTGATGGTTCGGCATGAGCGACACATGTCCTAGCTATATCAATCTATGCAGTTTCGCAGCCTCATCAGCTGACTTACCTACCTTACCTAACACTACGCCTAATCTCAACATTACTCACCATATTATACCACTTAACACCTGAAATGGAGGTACGATCCATAAGATCTCTTCAAATGTTTTTTCTTTTAGTTAATGCACCTTTCTATCTATCCATAATTTGCATGTGTTCAGCTCATAGGATTATCAGATTTAGCGTTCTCGTACGCGCCTCATCAGTCCACAAACTATAGCATTCTGTAAGCCACTTTAGGAAGACGTTGAATGACAAAATCAAGCAAAAAATAGATCTATTGTATTTGACACTACTGGTTACTAGGGAAGAGGGGTTTTCACTCCAACACCACAATGATTTTTCCTCATAGCAGAACCTTCACAGTCTTACCATAATTTTTAGAAAGATATTTTTTGAACAACACTTATTTCTAAGGAATTTCAGGGAATGCGGAATGCAATACGTCCGCTGCGTATCATGCCGAAAAGACAGTCGATTAAATGTGATTATGCAGTTATACCTGGGTCTGAAATCTCTTATCTTGTCTCTTGCTGGTCAGCTTTTCATGCCTATTATGAATTTAATGGAGTATAATAAACCAGATTTACCATGTTATTGCTAGCAAAGTTGTTCATATATATATATATATATATATATATATATAAATTGTAATTCGTAGTAAATATCGTCTAGTGTCAGTTGTTTTTGGAGAAAAACTTATATAAATGGGACTTTTGTTAATTTATCCCTTAGGTTTAATATCATTCATCATTTTCATGGGATTGTTTGCATTCGCACAAATGTCGGAGTATCCCATTGTCAAAGGCTTAAAGCCAAGCACAATGATTCCAAATTTTTGGCTGGGCCTACTAACTTCAACGTGTTTGGCTACCTTCATAATATCGTTTGCAGCATTTTTCGCCTCACGACCAGTTACACGTTTTACAAGACAGTCAGCAGCTAAAACAAGTATGTAGAGAAAATTTACTTTACGCTTATTTTTCCATTCCTTTGCGTTTCGAGTGGGACGTTGGGCTTCAGGCTTAAGCTTACGAGTTTCACCAGCAGTAGTATCATTTTTACGAGATGGGATAGCTAGCCTCACACCCAACTCCCCCACTTTACCGAACTTACTGCCGATTGAATGAGGTTTATGAATGCGTCGGCCGGGAATAGACTGTGAACCGCATGCATGTTGCTTTAATTAACTGACATGAAATAGTTGAGATACACGCATATACTACCTCAATATAACTGAAGTACTTTTTATTCAAGCTGTTACAAATTTTATAAATGAATGTGTGGTACTTCCATATTAATTTGTTTATCGGTTATACCACATAAAACATAATTTGCTGGATGACGCTTCTAATACATTTTATTCTTGATAATCATATCAATTGTAACTACAGAACTCCGAAACTTGATTTTATGGTCCCCTTTTCTTCCTCATTTGTCTTTAGAGTAGTAGATTTTTCCAAATACTTGGTGCAGGTGTTGAATCATTCCTATTGCATGTATTTTCAATTGATTCGACAGATAAAGCTTCTATCATCAATCTCTGGCTCCATCATGTTGTATTAGATTTTAAGACTCATCTTATCCCGTCCTATTGTATGGTTATGTGTGATTGCGTGTAGTGCTATAGCTGGGCTACTTTCCAATTGTCTTATCTTATTGGGGGCAACTAATCTAGGTTTTCTAGCCTTTTATGCTCCGCTAATCTGATTGGTCCCGTTCTACTACTTTGACCTTAATCACTAAAGGGTATTAAATTAAATTATTTCGTTTATTGGCTACATAGGATTCTTTAGCCGGCGTAATTTGAGTATAAGTAAGTTTGAATGCTACTTTTATCTCATTTTTGTTAACAATTTGCCCTAAGGTTTTCCTCAATATTTATGTTTTGAGTTCCCTACTGTTGGTGTTATCATCTTCCTCTTTATTTTTTCATTCATATCGTCTTTGTATGCTTAGAAGACTACATTTTCAAATTTATCTCCGATAGTTTTTTGAGGCATTAAAATTTTACTGACTAATATTTTACAATACATATTTTGTATTCCTTATTTAGGCAGTGTGTTTCTCGACTTTTGGTATGGTCGGTACCCGCGACCTTTGTGGTTTGGCATAGACTGGAAAATGGTTGTAATACGTTCCGGACTAACAGCCTTACCGTTAATCGATATGGCATACATTTTCAAACAATATGAACAGTATGAACGAGTTAGTCCAGCTCTTGCTGCTCATGCACTGATGCATGCCTTGTGGGTATTAGACTTCTTCATCTTCGAAGTACGTTTACATCCTATTTATGTTAACGGTTTTGAAAGCTATATTTTCTGATTTATGTATTCTTTCGTAAATATTAAGTATTGCAGATGAATTTGAATCTTACTTTTGATAAAAATGGGAGTCAATTCATTGTGTTTTTCTTATTTTTCATTGATGTGTATATTTTAGCATGCCTTCATTTACACATATGAAGTTCAGTCGATAACATTCGGTTCAAGTTTCGTTCTAGGCCAGCTTGTTGCCTTACCCTTTACCTATTCTATAACAAGTTCATATTTATCGTCAAAACCTGATGTTGGTCGATTGCCGACAAGTTTATCAAAACACAGCTGTGAACCATATACAATGGGAATATCTGTTATTGTATTTCTATTAGGACTATGGATACATCGAACATCTAGCAACCAGAAAAACATGTTCCGACGTGATCCTCATCATCCATCATTCAGTAGTAAGTTAAATATATCTTAGATACATGTTGTTCATGTTTAGTTTTGTGCTTATAATGCAAGTGTTTTTAAACACAGAAATACACGGTAATGCCTGCAGTATGTATCTCACTTAGGCCTTACAACTGTAATCTGTTACAATTTCCCACTAATTGGTTTTGTCTGGATCAAAATATTCAATCTCTGTTTGACATATCTGCTCATGGTAACGGACACGTCAACAATACCTTGAGTTCGGGTAGGTATTATTTAGTTAGTAGTAGTGGGACCAGTATTAAGACTTTCGTGAAACGCAGAAATATATTCGTTGGATGTATCAGTAGAAGCTTTATTTCACCTGTATAATTACCACATTCAGCATAAGAACAAGATCCGAGTTTTATTTAGAAAGAAATCAATGTCCCTCTTCTTGTATTTCTTTCTAACTTATTTGCCACACATATATAAAATAAATGTGATTCGTTTTTAAAATTAATTTTGTAGATGCTGAAATCATAGCTGGTCCTGGTACTCAACGACTTTTAGCTGGAGGTTTCTGGGGACGTGTCCGCCATCCTAATTATGTAGGATACATGATAATGGCCCTGGCAATGGCGATTCCATGTGGTAAGTGAAGTCAGTCTTTTGTCTACTAACGGTTGCTACTTGTCTACCGCTTCTATTATTATTTTGATGGTGCTGTTAGAGCTGAGGACAATACTAACCTTTCTTGACAGCTTGAAAATCCCTTTTGGACAGCAGTTCAAGCCTGTATATTTTTAAAAAGAAGACTAGTTACATCGTCGAATAATACTCTTTTCTTTTCCCCACTGTAGGTTTCGACTCAGTGATCCCGTGGATTATTCCAATTTTCATCATTCTCTTCCTTATACATCGTGCATTTGTTGTTGAAGAGGCTTGCTTAAAGAAACATGGTCCTGCATGGCAAAAATACATGGCACTTGTACCTTATCGTTTTATTCCTAAAGTTTTTTAATATTATTGTATATTCAAGCCTTTATCTCTAATATACTTATATTGCATTTCTATGTCAATGTATTTAATAATCATAATATTAATAATACTTTCTTGCTCAACAGTTTATCCCTACTACCAAACCAACATCACCACCAACCCTTTTATTTGTTTACAGGCAGATCCCTTGTCTCTCTATTCTATGTATATTGTTAACTCAGGACTTTTCAAATTGGCAGCATTTCGTTAATATAGGTAGATGTTCTAATTAATATTTTTCTTAGGTGTACAGTTGGTTTGTATTTTTCAAAAAAATTCTATTCCATTGATAATATATTTCATAAGTCTATTGTGTTTCCTCCCGTTTTGTAATAAATCAGTGTTTAACAATTTTCAAAATTTGTTCTTTTTATTGAGAAAAACACACTGGCGGTTGAAGTGGGGTGGGGAGCCATATGAAGTAAAAAGCGAATACAGTTTTAAAAGGTTTATACAAACGGGCTCTAGGCACAAATTTCAAATATATATGTATATATCGCAGTAGAAATAACCCGATGATATAAACGCGTAGATGGATCCCTGAGATAGAGATTGTATATGTATAGAAGACACATCTGCCGTGAAGTGTGCACTTATCTTTCAATAGGTCTGTAAAATAGAGTAGATACAAACTTCTGTCGGAAGCGAGTTATGACGCTGAGGACAATGACGCCATCCTGGAAAAAGAGAAAGGCAAAAGACAATCAATTCCTTATGGTGAAACATGAGAATGTTAAAGTCGTAATGTGTGTAAATTAGTACTGCTCATTATTTCAGTAGCCAAAGAAGGGATAAGAATATTTTTGCGCAACACGGAATTGTTGTAGTGGGAGAACTGTATAACCTTGGTGACTGTTACTGTTGATACAGGGAAAAGTAGAGAATTCTAGCAATCTGTACTGGGTACATCATTGTAGTAAGAGCAGAACTTGGGCACTGTGTTAGGAACTATATATGTTTCTAGTTTTCTTTAAAATCAGCTCGCGTATACCATTACTCGACAGTCATTGTAGTGTTCGCGTGCTGCCAACCGTTTTTGTAGCTCGTGTGGAAAACCACAACCACTAATTCAGACTAAGTTTCGAAAGTACACTATAAAAATACCTCAGGTATAGCGAAGGCATACAACCATTTATCACCACTGCTCCGAACCAAATGTAAGGTTAGCGTTGCCTAAATCCTTCATTTTTCTCCAACACTGCCGCTGATAACATTCTGGAGACGGTCCTGAGGGCTGTGCGCAGTGGTGTAGATCTATTTGGGAGAAGATCATTCAAACTTTAAGGGTGCAGATAATATTGACCTACTGTATGATAACTAACAGGCTAAATATGTAGCGCAGCTGAGTGTCAATCGTTGTATGGCGTGACCGCACTGCCGAAATCACCTCAATAGTTTGAGAGCTGGCGAATGTGACGGATCAGGTTTATAACTCCGGAGCGATACGCCATTCTACTACTGCTACGATGTTACCCATTCGACACTTCGGCGCATCTGGTCTCTTACTTTTCTGAGTCTAAGATATACGACAGGTCTGTGTTTCCAGCCATCGCTATCTTAATATGCCTGTATGTATTCCGATAACAACAACATAAGAGTATTTACTACTTTCCACGGTTTTCGTGTTCGGATAGGGTGGCTATCGACAGGTGATGTCATTTCGAAAGATCCGCTTTGGTACAGATCAGCGTCTTGCCGACCCTTGAACTGGCTTAAAAGTGTCGCAGTGAGATGAAGGATGATGCATCATCACTTCCTGCGACCCAGTGGCTGAATGCCTTGTTAGTAGTGACCCAGGATGAAAGGCAGAGACGTCCACACGGCGGTTTCCATGTTATTCCTACTGTCGAAAATAGTACGAATTAATGAACATCCCTCAGAATTGTGCGTACCTGTTGGATATACTTAACTATTTCATAATGCATTTCTTTGACCATTTTCCGCTTTATATTGTGGTACGAAATAATGAAGGTAAAGTGTGAGAATATTTTCCATGTGTTATAAGTTAGTAGAGAATGACAACTTAACACTCGTGTGGTAATGAAAGTATTCATTAGAAAATACGTCAACTTACTTTTATTGAAAGAGCGTATAAATGATTGACAATTACATGATTTGGTTGAGGAAGCAAATTAGGATCACAATGAAGATTCGTGTCCATATTCAAAATCCCCTGCGAAAAAATGAAGTTTTATAAACAAACATAGTCAGATAAAATGCTCAGTTTAAGGACATAAAGTTCATTGGTATATCTTATATTTTAATTAATCGATTTTTTTTATAGACAAACCCCTTTAGCATTTGCATATCAGTTTTGATTTTTCGCTGTACAGTGACAGTTCAACTAAATCTACTTAGATGCAAAGATATATGACAGTCTCACTCTTTATTCAATCCCATTTTTTAAACCGTAGTACACTGCTTCTTTCAAAGTAAAAAAATAATGGTCTACGAGCTCGACTTTGAACCGGAAGGTCCGAACCCCGGCAGGTGCGTACTGCAAAGAGTCCTACACTAGGTCGAAACAGCTGTCCAGTACTCCTAGGTTTTCTACTGTTTCTCTAACCGATATCAGCTCATGATGAAATCCTGTAACCAATCAATCAAATCCCTACAAACCAATACTTGAATAAGTCAAAAATCTTCTTACAAGGTACATGATTTGGTCCTGAACTATATATAGGTGTTGTGAAGATGTGCGCTGAAATATTTCACAAAGTAATGGAAATCGGATAAAAATAAATTTGCATCAACCTGAGCGGTCAATGTTTGCTTAATTCTCGAGATCTAAATCATATAGCATTCCAAATGTCTTTCATTCGTAGTGTCAAGGTTCCGTCGGATAAAAAGAACTAAATAAACCAGATAATTCTGGTTGGCAAATATGATTATTTCACGGAGATAAAAATGGTGGACTATGCAGTTTCCATGACAGTTTACCAACATATTATGACCAGTACTAGATAACTACTCGATATTTTCTTTACAACTAGGTTACAAAATGTCCCTTAAGTGTATATGTAATAACTGCGCATGAATAATCCGACTTCTCGTGCATTTGAAATAAATAAATATGGATTTCGAAATTTTAGACCAGCTGCTTCTTTGATGAGCCTTACTTAGGGTTAATAAACCTTTTCATTCTCCACTGAATACATTACTTTTCAATATGTGGCTTTGTAACGACAGAAGACAAGGGCCAGGCAACAGATCGTTTATTGAGAAAATCAACAGATTTTTATGTACATTATTGTTAGCAGAGAAGCAGCGTCTTCTGATCGGCTGTTTTCCTGCTGCAGGCTATTCTGTCATCTCTGTTTTGCCGTTTCTTAGACAGTCCGGTGATATATCTGTGAATCGTATCCGCCCACGCTAAGTCTGCTTTGATTGGGTGTTGAGCTCCTCAAGGTTAGGCTTTGTTCTTGTTTTTTCCTCATGACCCCGATTTGGGGCGTAAACACAGTTTCTTTACATTTTGCATGGAGGATTTCATCATGAGCTGATATCGGTTAGAGAAACACTGGAAAACCTGGGAGTACTGGACAGCCGCTTCGTCCCAGTTCGGGACTGTTCATCAGTACGCACCCACCGTGGTTCAAAACCAAGACATTTTGGTTACAAGGCGACGTCGTAAACAACTGAGTCACTGGGACCCGATTCAATGGCCCATAAATTCTAACTTCTGCCAATTCACGACATAGCGCGACCATTTCGCAATGTCTTCTTCGATGACTTACTGCATTATCTTTACATTGTCACAGTTTTTGTTTACACTACTTTTGTTCATTGCTGTAGTGGGAACCAGATGAAATAAAATATTTGTGTATGGATTAGTTCCAACGGTACCACTACAACTCCCGATAGTTTTCAATATCATCTAATATAGTTTCAACAACACGGTTCATATCATCATGATATTCTGCCTCATCTGCCTCAAAATATAGGCGTGTTTATCTCCTCTGGTAACACAAATAATATACGTGCTCGGACTGTTTTGATTAGATGGTTGTAAGCAATCGGCAGGAAGACCTCCACCCAGGTTTCGTGATTGCTGGTACTCATCATCAGGGCGTACCTGCAATCATGGAAGAACTCACGTCCCTTCACAGATTCGAAACGTGTCACCCAGTGCTGTAATTACATGTTACCAGTGAGCAGATAGACCTTGCTGACGAGTGCCAACAGACATGAAACGTAGGTCCAAGGCTTCCTGCGAATTGCCTTCAGTCATCTAATAAAAAAGTCCGAGTACTCCGTGATAGTCAGCCACCTAGCTTGGTGGCCACATTGCAAACTTGATTGGTAGAATTCAGTCTGCACTAAATAAAGTAATAGATGCATGACACTAGTTGGTGTCCAATCAAAGTATATACGATCGAATAATTCATGATCATGACTATGACTGAAAGGTTTTAATTTTTGTAACGGTGGTAATCTACTCTTCTGATAACAGCTACACTTAATCTGCCGAACATCCAACACCTCCCTGAATGGGATATAGACACAGGTCCTCCGTCCTTAACTGAGGTTACTAAAGCTGTCACTAATCTGAAGCAAAGCAAAGCAGCGGGACCTGATGGAATGACTCCAGAGGTATTTAAGTACGGTGGAGACAGTTTACTGTCTGCATTAACTGAGGTTCTAGGCAGCGTCTGGGAATCAGAGAAAGTCACTGATCATCCCGATATACAAGAAGGGAGACAAGTCCTCTTGTGATAATCACAGAGGGATTAGCTTGACTAATATAGTATCTAAAATCCTAGGCTCAATAATACTGCGTAGACTAAATGGTGCTCGGGAGGCACAAACACGAGAAAACCAGGCAGGTTTTAGACCAGGAAGAGGGTGTATTGATCATATCTTCACCCTTCGACAGATTCTAGAAAATAGGCATTCCTACCGGCGACCGACAGTCATTATATTTCTTGACCTAAAGGCGCCATTCGATTCTGTCGACCGAGAGGTTCTCTGGCGATGCTTGGCTGCAAAGGGAATGCCAAGAAAATACATTGCACTGATTAAGGCACTCTACTCGTACTCATGCAGCCAGGTGAGAGCTTATGGCGAGTTGTCATCTGAAGCAGTGACAACTAGTGGCGTCCGTCAAGGATGCCCATTATCCCCATTCCTATTCAACTTCATCATAGATGTACTAATGGACTTAACCCTAACACACTTCAGCGACTCAGGGATTGACTTGCTACCAGGGAATAATCTCGTCGACTTAGAATATGCGGACGATATAGTCCTTCTAGGCGAGGACGCTGACAAAATGCAGAGTTTACTGAACATCTTGGGCAACAATCTTCGTATGTTCGGCATGCGATTCGCCCCTGTAAAATGTAAGATGATGCTGCAGGATTGGACTTCACCGACCCCTAGATTAGAAAGAGATAGTGAAGTGGTAGAGCACGTTGACCGCTTCACTTACTTGGGAAGTACCATCAGCCCCAACGGGTTGATCTCAGACGAAATCTCAGCACGAATACAGACGGCTAGTTTCGCATATGCCAGTTTACGCCGTCTCTGGCGTAGACGCGATATCCGACTATCGACCAAAGGGCGTGTGTACTGCTCAACAGTCCGCTCCGTCCTCCTTTATGGCTGTGAGACCTGGCCATTGAGAGCAGAAGACATGAAAAGATTAGCTCTCTTCGATCATAGGTGTCTGCGTTCTATCTCCCGCGTGAAGTGGTATAATAAGGTGAGCAATATTGAGGTTAGGCGTCGAGTGCTAGGTAAGGCGGGGAAATCAATCGACGAGACTGTGAAATTACTTCGACTGAGATGGTTAGGACATGTGCTACGTATGCCTAGTCATCGCCTTCCTCGACGGGCAATGTTAGCTGATATAGGGCCAGGCTGGAAAAGAGCTAGCGGCGGTCAAACCAAAACATGGCACCAGTCAATGAAATCCACAACAGTTAGTTTAAGCCGGCCACGTAGGAAGGTGTAGACTTCCTGGTTGGGGTCCTTGGGACGGTATAAACCAATGGCTGGAAACAATTGGTGACATGGCTCAAAATCGTTCTCAGTGGCGCAGATGCATCCACTCCTTGTGACTTATGATTTCCAATGAAACTGTTTTGTTCTCCGTTATTACTATTCCTTTGTCTCACACCTCTGTTTGCTGTCTATATTATGCATTTCTCCTACTTTCTTCTCTTGCTTTGTGTGCTACATGGAGTGTGGCGACTTGAACTGCCGCACATATGTGCAAAGTTCTATGTCGAAAACCGACCGATAACAGGAATAAAAGTATTTTCCAATATAAATCAATTTCTACAAGAAAATATAGCCTGTGTTTCACTAACTCTGACTACTCCAATTAGTTGAATTCAAATAACATGTACTGGATGCATAAGAGATGGCCACGAGGTAATATATACTCACTGGTGGGGACATGACCTTTCAGAGACATTCAACAGGCTGACATCCAGTTCACACACCTACTATTCTTGCATATAAATTTGACAGTTCCATCATAGAAGTCAAAATGAAACTAATTATTTTCTGGTTAACATCGTCCATCTGGTAACGAACTAGCCAAGAAATTATGTGTACCTCTACAAATATGCAGAGTAAAATGGAGATAGGTCGGACACAGGCTGAAGAAACTGTTCAGTCACATCGCGTGCCAGTTCTTCGAGTGGAATCCGAATGGGAAGCAATGAGTTGACATAGGTGCGACGATGACATGCAGGAGTTCGTGTGATGAAGAGATGAGAGCTTTAGAGCAATTGTGGACTGCAGAAAACAGGATGAAATGCAGATGTATTGCTGAAGCCCTAGGTCCCACTCGGTACTTGGGGCAATAACAGAAATAAGGTCGTCCATCAGGTTTGTTTTTGGGGTGTAAATTCATTAGGATGGTATCTACTAGCTTTCCAATCAGTGATCCGAGGATCACTAACCAGGTCATTGTTTGACTGGAACAATCACGGCTTATATTTAGCTATCCTGAGAATGAGTGACCTTTTGAATACTGCCACAACCCATACTTTCATTTTTCCCTTTATTATGACTCACTACACCTCAGAGACTCTGGCACCGGTAATTAACCTGTCTCTGTTCCGATTCAATAGGGTTAAAATAAGTAGGTATATCAAACTGGTTCAGCCCGGATTCGAACCAGGGATCTTTTGCGTGTGAGAGGTGAATGTGATAGCCACTACATCAATGAACTGCCGTAGTTGAGGCCCGGCAGAAGATCTCGTTAGGCAGCTAGTAGATATTTATTTGACATCTGGACATAGAACGTGATAATTTTATTCAAAAGATGATTTGTTGAGCAGCTGGTGAATTTTTAACTTGGTAATCTGAAGACTATCGGCTAGAATCCTGCTGCGACTATTTTTTTTCCTTCACGTTCCCCAGTGGAACATAGGGCTTCAAGCTATTGGTTTGAAGTTTCTGTAGCAGTGTTTATTTTACAGGATGGGGTTGCTAGCCTCATGCCTAACCTTTCCTCTTCACCAGCATTATTTCTGGCTTAGCGAGGTAAAGGAGTGCGTCCGTCGGGGATCGAACCCCGGACCATGTGCATGGTCGGCGAGCGTCCTAGCCACTATGCCACCGACTATTAAGTCATGCCAATTGTAATGGTAATCATTTAGTGAATGTCAGTCACTTAACAATGTTTTTGCAGATGCAAAAAACAAATAATAAAATAAGCTGAATAGACACAGATAGATAACATATCAGTATAAAACAGAAAATTATTAAGATGCTTTTGATGTGGTTGTGTTCTCTGAGCTGGATAGTTAATTTGCGAAGTTTTCATTGCCCTACTAGGCAACATCTTCAGCGCATACTTTAATTTGAAGTCAGGTTTTAGATTTCTCCACGAGTTTATTAGTCATCTCTCCTACTGACCTTGAACTTGATTGGTTGTTTTTTTGTGTTTCCACACCCTCATCCACATGAGCTACAAATCTTCTCCATCATACTAAGATGTTGCATGGCTATGCCTAATAACAACACACAACGTGTAAAAGGTAATATATAAAGGCAGACAATGGGAACAATTAAAGAACTGAAGAAATGTCTCATCACAGTTAGCATGATAATCAGTGATGAATACACGTTTGTAACCTGTAGCTTTCTTTCTCTAATACAGAAATTTGGTATAAAAGACAAGGATATAGTAACATTTACTCTTGAGCTGTAAACTGAACAAGGATTATTACTACTCGTCTCTTGTGTTCCGAGTAGAATATAAGGCATCAGTGGAATATGTTTACTGTATTCTGTTCTATTTTCTAGCAAGCTCCACCACTGTCCATCTACCACCCCTCATATGACCTTCTCCATTTCACCCTAGGACACCCAACTCATCGCTTCCCTTTCAGGTTCCAGTCGACGGCCTGCCTAGCGTGTGACTTCACTTGAATATCTCCTTCAGTGCATGTCCAATGAGTCTTTATTTCTTTTCTGTATATTTGTTGGGCAATAAGTTCTTGAATGGTTCACTTCCAGAGTTCCTTGTTGCTTATCCTTTCTGACTAACCATTTGATATTCAGTATGACGTGAAGGCATTTGTCGATAAAAGTTTCCAGTAAGCTGTTGAAAGTGTCTTTTGGCATACGTGCACAAAGCCTCTGAAATATATAGAAGCACTGACTTGACATTAGTATAGAGGATTCAGATATTGTTCACATTGTGCTATTTCAAAGTTATAAACGCCCATCTTGCTTTCCACATTCGATCCTGGGGTTGACTTTGAAATCCTCATTAGTGCCACCTGTAGTTGAAATTATGCTGCTGAGATAAATGAAAGAGACAACTTCTTCTATATTTCGCCTGCTTGTTGTTGTTGTTGTCATCGTCGGTTTTCAGGTATCTTCATCACTTCTGTCTTTTCACCTGAAGCCCAGCCTTCGCTGCCTCTTCTATCAACTTATTGATTTTGGCTCGTAAATTTTCAAGTTTGTATGACACAGACAACAAAAATCATCCGCGAAGTTCAGCTCATCTAGGGTGTTTTTCATCACTCTACAGTATGACCTTCTTCTCACTCCCCACGATCAACCGCATAATCCAATTCATCGAAATCACGGAGATCAGCGGTGAAAATTGGCAGATTTGCCTTAAACAAACAACAATGTTAATTACGTGGCAGATAGTAAGTTTCATGACTTGAATGAGGCATTGACAGCATAGATAACGTTAGGTAGGAAGTATTTAAACTTCGGGTACTTATAGTCTTACAAGTTAAACCAGAAATTTGTTTGAAGAGAGAGACATCTTCTAGTACTCTTAGTCTTTCTTCTGACCACAATTTACATACTTCACTAATGTACACACTCTGATGACGTACCAGATGTGGAAACAGAGATGAATTCCATTTCGATTCATTTATAAGTGATCAGATTCTCCTGTTACAAATAATGTTAATTATCTTCCCTCCTGTATGTTTTAGCATACATAACATAGAATGAAAAGACTATAACGGCTTCTAAATGACACGAAATTCAAAGAACTTCAGTCTCTCTGAACTGATCTCAATAGATTCTTGTAGTCAATCCAAAGAAAGGGTTTGATCTAGGTTTCGCCTTTATTGGCATGCCTGTAATCTTGAAGCCGCCTCATTCAGTAATGCAGTCAGAGATATTACCACTGAACTATTTGGCTCATTATTGATGAGTGCCAATAAAGCACTACACCTAGATCTGTGTCGATTGCATCCAACCACTTAACAAAAAGATCAAAAGACCACGCGGTGGAGAGTCCCATAAACAGGTGACCACATTGCAAACTTGATGACTGAATTCTGTCAACACCAATATTAAGGTTTAGAAATATGATGCCGATGACTGACGGTATCAGACATAAAAGTTATAAATGGACTAGTATTTGGACACAACTATTCTGATATATTTAAATAGCCTTACAAAATATCCTATCATGACAGTGGAAACTGATTATCCTCCCCCCCCCCCTTAATGACTAATCAATTATACATACTGTTTACTCCATTATACTAAATAAATAAGTCATCTTAATTTTTTACTTATTGAAACACAAATTCGGTAAATGATGGGCACCAAGAGATGAGGCACAAAAAATCTCATAGTTTGTGCGAGGACTGGGATACTGCTCAGATGCACAGGTCGAAACATATGCTTGTCTTAAGAGACCAAACCGAGAGCATCTGACATGAATTCTCACCCCCAAGACAGTGGAGCAGCGTCAGGAACTACATTCCCATAGTTGCCAGAGTCCAAAACAAGTTCATACACCATTCGATCCTTTCAGATTCTATAACTCATGTACACAACAGGTTTGGAACCGGGGTTTTCCAGCTTTCCTAGATTGACCTGTATGTCCACCAGTTCGGTTTTTAGAGCTAGATGTTTGCATTGACCCTTTCACTTATGTGAGGAGCAATCCCGCCACGTGAAAGCTGTGAATCTAACTTACTCAGCAGAGGCTTTGGGCGTGTGGACACATAAGAGGATTTCGAGAGGAAGACCGAACTCTCGGTGGTAACAGGTCTTTTATGACACTCTACATTTAATTGTGGGTACGAAAACAGATATACATTGGGATAAAACGGTGTATTCTAAATATATATATGAAAAACCTACAAATCCAGGTGTTACCCAATATAGGATAAATAACTTTATACAGGTTGGTTATTGAGTAAAAACAATCAAATGCCTAGAATTACTAACTTCTTTTTTCGAAACAAACATACCTTACTCTGAGTAGAGTGGTGCAGTCAGATGGATTTCGTCTACTTTATGATGAACCCAGCAGTCACAATAATTATTTTCTTCTACTCTGTCAATTTATCAACAACATCAAACAGTAGACTTCATTTCTCTTTATATTATTATAATTCCTTTAAGCTCTGAATAGCATAGGTGGTTCAGCGGTAGAACGCTCGCCAACCATGTACGTGGTCCCGAGTTTGATCCTCAGCCAACACACTCTTAAACCCTGCTAAGCCGGTAAACAGAGAAGCTTATACTTCAGGCTATCACCCTTATCCTATAAAAATAAAACCACTGCTACTGGAACTTCTACGCCCCAGCTTCAAGCCGCATAGTCCAATCGGAACGTGAAGGAATAATAATAAAGGGTTCCGAGTGGAGAGTGCGGCCTCAACGACACATTCCCATTTCATTTTGTCCCCTGTAGTCCTTTTTAACTGGCTTAGCGATAGCCCACATAAGCCTTTATTTCTTTCACACATACATGTGATCTCTCCCCTCTCATGTTACTCTCGGTTGCTCAACACATTGCTTCCCATTCTGGGAATACCTTCATCATTTAGTCTTAGTTTTCTTCCACATAAAAATGAAACAATTTATGCAATGATTTCAATTCAGTGAGGAGAAAATAATTCTTATTGAAACAAACATAGGAAACAATTGGATGATATTTTATTGTGAATAAATTACCTGTAATAAATGTGGTGGTAGTAAGGGTGGTTGAGGAAGTGTACCAACACCTGGAGTAATTGAATGATGCCGAGTTTCTCTTGTCCTTGTCCGGTGTTGTAATTCACCAAGACTAGCAGGCATGAAACGACCATATTCTCCTGGTGGTGAATGACCTAAGCTATCCACCTGATTATATTTGAAGATAAATAAATAAATACGAAATATATTTTAAATCCAACAGTACATGGGTGATATTCAAGTAGTGGTTTACAGGAATTTGATAGGTTTCAAGATTTCATTATGGGCTGACAACGGTTAGAAAACCATCAGAAAACTTGCCTTGAGTACTGGACAGCTGTTTCGTCTTATTCTGGGACTCTTCACCAGCACGTACCAACCGGGGTTCGAACCCTGGACATTCCAGTTAAAAAGCGAGCTCGTAGACTATTAAGCCACTGGGATATGACCCAATGAACTATGAATTCCATCTTCTGACAATTTACGATATATTGCGACCACTAGCCATTATCATCAGCGAGTACATGGGTGAGTTCAAAGGTCGAAAAGTCATACAACTAGAAAAAATGTCAACAACATGAACCCAGAATACTAAACTACTTCACTTAGAGTTAATTTTTTCTTTACCAAGAGAAACTGTGAAAAAGTAATCACTGAGATAAAGGAATGAGGTTGTCAGTGAGCAGTCAATACTGTTGCTTTTCGGTTATCTCAGATGCCATTCAGCCTACCCAACGACCATAAAGGGCTGACTGTTTTTAGGTTATTCAGATATGCTAGAATAATTGTGTCCAAATACTAGTTCACTCATAATCCTATGTATTTCGAATGATTTAGCGACACATCTTATAGCATCCATCAGCCTTCACAAACTATCGTACCATCTTAAAGAAACCATGGTTTTTCATTTCTTTGCATTCTGAGCGGAACATACAGCTTCAAGCTTTGAAGTTTCAGTGGTGGTGTTGTTTTTCTAAAGGATGAGGTTATTAGCCTCACCCTCAGCTCAGCTCAGCCTTCCCTCTTTACCGGACTTATTATCATCTAAGCAGGGTTTATGAGTAAGTCAATCGGGAATGCAACCTTGGACGATATGTGTGGCTGGAGGGCATTCTAGGCGTGAACCACCTTCACGCGTGAACAGCCTAATAATAACAACATAAGGCAGAATAAGTGTAAATACACAAACATACTTCAAGTATAATTTCAACTCAAAGAGCTTTTTAATGATTCTTAAAATTGTATAATGGAACAAGATTGAAGATAGCTAACCTAACAACCAGAGCTTATTTATACACATACATAAGGAGTTGAGTAAAACTCATTATGAATCTTCAAATTTACTTAATCGTTTGTTTACATAATGATTTTATTTTCATTTATCATATCTTTTCAAAATCACCCTTGCCTCTCAAAAATTCATCATATTATGTATAAATAAATCCTTGCATTCATATTTATTGTATCATTGCTAGGCTAAAAATCAGTAAACGCCCTTTAGTTAATGTTATTCCTAGGCTGAAAGGAAAACTATGAAATAAACAAAAATGAGCTCCTATTATCCTGTTATTATATACTTTCAGATTATGGGATTTGTGAGGTTTTGGACTAATTTAATTCCAGTTGTTAGATTCCGTCAAGAACCAACATCAGTTAGGCGAATCATTGAAAATTAGGGAGAACTGGACAGCTGTTTCGTTCTACTTTGTGACCCCCACCCGCAATGTGACCCTACCATCCGACTAGGGGACGAACCCGAGAACTTTAGGTTATGAGGCTTAATTCGTTGACACTTCTGCCACTTGAGCTAGAATTCAGTGACCCGTGGATTTTAATTTTTTCAACTTGTGACATAGTGCTATCGCCAACCAACGCCTACTTTGAGTATCCAGTTCACCTTTACATGGTGAGCCTTACTGGTCATTACTTTTCACTAAAGCTTCAGGACATACATCCAGTAGCCATTGATGAGCTGGAGACTGATACTTAGATCTGCAGATCACGAGTTGACCAAGTTAGAACTCATGGGTTAGTGAATCCCGAGCCAAGTGGATGAATGGTCAACGCGCTTGGCATTGTAACCTGAAGGTCCCAGGCTAGATGTACTGAAGAGTAACAAAATAGAACGAAACAGCTGTCCAGTTCTCCCTAGTGTCTTCAATAACCTCTCTGACTGATTGTTGGTTGGTGATGAATCCTAACAATTGAAATTAAATATATTTTCGTTCTTGTTTTGTTCAAACTAATCACAGGGAATAGAGTGTATGAAACATATGCTCCATTTAACTCAGTTGGTGAATATTTGCAATCGGTTTGACTGACTCACTCACTCTATTCCTAACGTTTCACAATATTCAATTCTATGTTTCCACTGCATGCGTACGTCACCAGAAAATCTGTAACTATCCTTTATAGTATACATCTCACATTTGCAGACTGAATACAAGGTGTATATTCAACCTTTGGTAGGTTAACATGAATCCTCCTTTAAAAGTTGTGTTCTCTGAGCTGATGGATGGCCTAAATGTGAGGAATACTAAAGAAGTTGTCTAGAAGGATAATGAAAGCTTAGTGATTGAACTGTCTAGCTGAGAAAAGATGGTAATACCAAAAACATCTACATGATATTTAGATTGGACACTAAAGTTAGTAACTAATGTCATGCATCTAGTCCTTCACGTTTGGTGCAGACTGAATTCTGTCAGTCAAGTTTGCAATGTGGCCACCATGATAGCTGGTTCACCATCACTCTGAACTGTTGCTAGGTGGTTGGAGGCAATCGGCAGGATGCCTTCCACCTAGGTTTCGCGCTTATTGGGACTCGTTAATCAGCAGGCGGTATCTGCAGTCTTGAAAGAACTTATATCCCTTCTGGGATTCAAACCCGGATAACCCAGCGCTGAACAGTTACGCCTTTCTGACTAATGACAACAAGCACAAAACCTAGGTACAAGGCTTCCTGCCAACTGTCTAACAACAACCCTATAAACTACAAGTTTCTTTTCACTATTCCAATATACAGATGGATAACTTCAAATCAACGGAAAGTCTACATTTGATAGTTTTGTCTAGGCAACAATAAAATCCCAGATGCTAAATATGATTTTTTGAATCGTAGGAGCGTATATACACACTATGCGATTTCCCAATTGATGTGCAGACCAGACAATATATTGGTATCTTTTGTAAGAAAAGCAGAAGCTCAGGCTACATAGGAGTGATAACTGGATAGCAGTTTCAATTATCGTAATTATTACAACTAACTACTGTTTGAACATGCTTCTTTTAATCCAGATTCATAAAAAAGAGAAGGATAGAGAACAGGAAAAAATAATCCCTGAGCTCTACCTAGTTGAATCGCCCACTAATCAGCAGTTTCGACTGAGTAAACTGTTTGCTGTGAATAGAGCACAGCTGAAGATCAGAGATTAACACAAAAACATTGAAACAATGGCTGATAATGTGTATACGGCAATTAAAACAAGGCCACCGATATTATTTTCATATATATATATATATATATATATATATATATATATATATATATATATATATATATATATATATATGGGTTAGAAAGATAACCCAGCTAAGACTCTAACCTTAAATAGACCTTGAATAAAGGAAAATATATAATTAGTTGTCATTGTTAAAGCTTATACGAATGAAGCTTAGGGCATTTCAGTGAAGAAATACGGAAAAATGTTCTATCAACCATAAAACTGGTACTGTGTCGCTTTAAATGTTAGTCTAGTAACTAGTTATAAAATACTTGTCATCGTAATATTGATAGCAAGGGATGTGGAGGATACATTTTAAAGTAGAATATTATTACAGGTTGTGTTTTTTTTAAACGCACAGATTACTTCCAAGTTATAGGATGGGACAATGTTAAACAAGGATTCTATCCCACATTTTTAACCACAGAGCAATAAAGTGGACACCAATTTCTATCCCTCAGTAGTTGTTCAATGTTCATGCAGAAACTAAGCATCTCTTCATGAATATATACCGTTTTAACAGTTCCTGTGGTTCAAGTTATATTTATTATGAACAAGTTTGTCTACAGATTGGAGAACATTGAAAAGCTTCGTTCAGAAAGGGAGAAATAAAATACATAAAAAGTTCATTCCTAACATATATGATAGATACAGGACATAGACGCTAATATAATCCTTGAAGTCATATATCAAATACTAAAGTCATTAATCACGTTAAGTTCATCTATATTTTGTATAGACAACTGAAGATGTGAACAATAAGATTAATGAAGTCAGAACACTCTATATTCACAGAAAGAACACATTAGGACGTTGTCCCTAACATGGTCATGCTTAGACATTAAATACTACACTCTTCTGAAGAGATTTCTCTACCTCTTTATTTCATCTCCTTTCATTTAAACATTTTTAGTTGTAACATTGTATCATGTATATCCCTCAACCTAGCCATGCCATAAACACACATACTAAACATGCTATTCTAATTTCCTATATGTGGTAGTATTTCTTTTCTCACTCACCATACGACTCCACTTCATTCAATTTATATATTGATTATTTCGCGATGTGAAATATTCCCTTTAGTCTTACTATCTGTGCTTTTTTATTGTATGCTATCTTTGTGTACTCGCCCACTCACAATACTTGATGAATGAAGATTTTAAAATCTTGAATTGACTTGTTCATTTTTCTCCCTTCCCACACTATATGGACATTAGATGATGACTAATCAACATCTTCATCCATTTCAAACTATTTGGTATTTGAAGTCAACCTCTCACCACTGCAACATCTTGTCACATAAATACTATTTGCTTATGAGTCAACCTATAACTTGAAAGTAATGTTGTTTTTTTTAAAAATTCCTAATCATATGTCATGTTAAAGTGAATCCGCCCCATAGTGGGCTAGTAATAGGTATGATAACAAGTATTTTACATTATGACTATGAATCTGATATGAATTTAAGGAAAAGAATATTCTCTGTTCAGACTGACTTTCCATTCTTATGATATGGGAATAGTTAATGCTCATTAGACTTCAAAGTTAAGCAGTTACGCCTATCTACATGTGTAGAAACAACAATAGAGATGCGTACCTAAATTTAGTCACGAACTGACTTCAGTTAGAGAACCATTGAAAACCAGGCAGCACAGGACAGTTATC